ATCTCGCTCTCCGCCGGCCAAGCCTCAGCCCATGTACGCAAAAATCTACAAGTCTTTTCCCGGGTATGACATTTCAACAACCCCGTAACTGAAGGCCTCTCCTGGTCCTCCCAAATACGGGCAGCTATGTGTCCTAGAAAGCTAGGAATCACACTCCCGTCAACAGGCCCACCGGGCACCTCACTCCTAACAACCCAAGAATCATTACCGGCCCTCGACCGTTTCCTGCTTGCTCCAGATACAGTGGACGCAGATGATGTGCCAGATCTACTAACAAACCTACCACCCCTACCCTTACGCACCTCCACCATATGTGTCTCGTACATGTCATCAACCCTCTGACTGAATGGACCGTAATCATCATACGGTCCACTGCCATCGTCCACATCCTCATCCTCATCTGCGCCCTCCTCCTGCTCCTCCTCCTGGTCACCCTCCTCAGCATCATCATCGTCATCGTCATCCTCATCCCGACGGTGGATCCGTTCTCTACGAGCTGAGGCCGAAATACCACGGGATCTGACATGTCTATGCCCCGACCTCTCCACTGAATAGCTTCTACTAAGAAGCTCTACATTCTTCCCCGCACCATGACGACCCAGTGAATTCTACACAAAATTTTAAAATATATAAACATACAAAAATTTATACGAAAAATAGCTACCACTCCCAAATCAAATAAACTAAAAACATACAAATAATTGTAAACAAAATATAAACATAGAAAAAATACAAAAAAATTGAAAAAATTTATAAAAATAAACAACAAAATATAAAAACAATTCAAAAATATATTACACAAAAAAAAAAAAAAAATTAAAACAATATTTTAAAACAAATATATAAAAAAAAAAAGGGGGGGGCGCCCTGGCTGGACGCCCAGCCAGCGGTGGTGGCGCTAGCTGCAGACGCCGCCACCAGTGGGCTGGCGCCTGGGCTGGACGCCACAGCCACGGCTGCGGCGCCTTGAATAAACGCCACAACCGTGGCTATGGCGTCCAGCCCAGGCGCCAGCCTACTGGTGGCGGCGTCTGCAGCTGGCGCCACCACCGCTTGCTGGGCGTCCAGCCAGGGCGCCCCACCTCCGTCACGGCGGTTTTTCCTTTTTTTTTTTTTTTTTTTTTTTACAAATTGTACCTTGCCTCCTTGGGACCTCCATCCCTCCGCCGCCGCCGCCAATTCCTTGCCTTGTCGCCTCGACATTGCCGTTGTTTGAATTTTTTTTTTTTAGAGAGGTTGAAGGAAGATGAGCGATGAGAGTCTGAGTGATGAGAGTGTGAGTGTTTTTTTTTTTAGGTCAAGGGCAATATTGTCAAACCAAGTGAATTTTGTGGGATTTATGTAGTAATTTGTGGGCGATGTTTAACAAATCCCTTATTCTAAAACTAATCTAAAGATAATTAAAATAAAATAAAATCAGAAAAATAGCAATTACAATAGTCGTGATATCACTAGTAGAATAAACATAATGGCAAGCGGTTCAAACCCCCTAATGGGAAGCGGTTTTGAACCGCATGCCATTGGGGGGCATGCCATTAGCCTTTTAAATGGCAAGCGGTTCAGAACCGCTTGCCATTTGTAGTGAAAGGGCAGCGGTTTTGGGGCCAAACCGCTGCCCATTATGGGTATAAAAAATAATTTATTTTTTTTATTTTTTATTTTTTTAGTTTTTTCAATTAAATTGAAACACAAACATAATATATGCAAAAAAAATTAATATTTTTATTAATTAATTGTTGTAATATTACATTTTCATAAAAAAAAAAAACAAGCAAAATAAAACTGATGATAAAACTGATGCTGCTCTTGTTCACCAGCCGTGCACACCACCAGCCGCGCGCACCACCAGCCGCCACCACCAACCACCTTAACCCGTATTACCACCACCACCCTATCCCGATTCACCGTATCTGCCAAACAATAAGTTGAAAAAATAAACAACAATAATTATTAACTTAATTTCAGATCTTTTGTGTAAAAAAAAAAAAAAAATCAGATCTTAAATTTTGAACAACAAAATTTTAAAGATAAAAACTCGAAAATTATACACAAACATACCGATTTTAAAGCTAAAAACTCGAAAATTATACACAAACATATCGGGTTTAGATCTTAAATTATACACAAACATAATATATGCAAAAACTCAAAAATTAGCTAAAAATTTAATGAAATACCGGAAAATCAAGTGAGATATGACTTGAGAAGCAACGATCTGAACCCTAACGCCGAGCCAGAAAACTGAACCCAAACGTTTTCTTCATTCTCGTCGTTGGGTACTGAGGCGTTCGTCGTTCTTCGTTGTGGTGAGGAGTGAGATATGTGTCCGTCGTTCTTCGTTGTGGTGAGGCGTGAGAAAGGAAAGAAGGGAGGCTGAGAAAGGAGATAATTAAGAGAAGAAGATAAAGGATGGAGGGGAGATAGAGGAGAAAGAACTGAGGTGTAATGGAGGGGAGAAAGAGGAGAGAGAACGTGAAAATGAGAGGAGAGAGAAAAAATGAGGGGATAGATCAGAGGAGAGATAGCGTGAAAATGAGGGGAAAGGGGACGGAGGAGAGAGAAGATGAGGCGTGAGCTGGGTTCAACTTTTCTAGGGTTTTTTTGACCAAATGGCAAGCGGTTCAATGCTCAAACCGCTTGCCATTTACATTTTGGTAAGCGGTTCATTTAAAACCGCTTGCCATTGGCATTTTGACAAGCGGTTCATCCTAAACCGCTTGCCATTTACATTTTGGCAAGCGGAATTCAATAACCGCTTGCCATTTGTGGCTGCCCATCAAGTTTATTCTGCTAGTGTATGATTGGTCGATTGAAAGAGTTATAATCGATGTAGGATTTCTCGTGGCTTGCGCGCACACCCCACCCATCGGGCGATGGGTGGCCGATGGTCGGAATGACACTCGACCATCGGGCGATGGAAAACCATCGCCCCAACCAGTAGCTCACGCTCGAGCGTACATCACGTCCATCGCCCGATGACTGGGCGATGAGTTGGCAGCTTCGCAGACTTGACTTCAAAGGGATGTATCTCACGTTCTAGGAATCGTATAGGGGAGTGTGACCTATCAATGGAAATATCTTCAAGTCTAGTTTCTAACGCAATTTGAATCACCTCAGTCCGATCTGTAGAACTCAAGTTATGATCAAAAGAGTGAATAAGAGTCAGTTTTACCACTTTGTAAAACATCGTTTAACTTCGTTTCTAACTCAAATTCAATTCCGAAATGTGCATAACGATAATTGTGGATGCTATTTTCATTTCTCATGCATAAAATCCTCATAGTCTACATCCACGAACATGAGATCTTCGATTAATAAACTCAATTCATTGACTTTTCATCCTTCCATTGTCCGATTCTTCCAAAACCACTCCGAAAGCGTTCAAATAGTTATAGAAACTACCTGAAACATTAAGAAAACACAAACGAAGCGTAATAGAATACAAAATGGACAACTTATGCAATTGCGACCTAAAAAGCGACAAGAGACACAAAAAGCAACTATAAAACAAGCATAAACGTGCCTATAAACTCTATATAAATATGACTCATCATAGTGATCAAAGATTAACATCGGCATGCGTGTCCAGGAGAAATGGAGCAAGTATTTAAAAACAAATGGAGTATTACATAATATTATCATATTCTTTATTAATATTTTTTTTGACAAGATGTTCTTTATTAATATTACGGATGTTCTTTAGATAAATAAAAAGTAATAATATGTAGTTTTTCTTCACAAAAAAGATATATGTTCTTTACAAAATAGTTGTACGTTCTTTACAAATTAGGTACATGTTCTTTCCGCGGTTTTTGTATGTACCAAGCATGATAACACTGCCTGTAGTTAAAATTTTCAAAACCTAATATGATGCCCAAAATTGTTGTAAACCCCCCCCCCCCTTTTTTTTTTTGTTTGTTAAATTTGGAAAATCAGTTATCTTTTATCATATCCTACAATCATGGATATCCTAAAATCACACGTTTATTAATTGATAAAATACTGCTTTTTATTTTTAATAATTTTTATAAATTTGCATAATAAATATTAGATGTTTATAAAGTCATTAAATAAGATTAGTGACATGTAAATATATCTCCCTGTTAAAAAATCAATAATTTATCACCAAGATCGGCTAGATGCCTAGATGTGTATTCTACTTGAAATTATAGGTAAAGAGTAGGGTTGAGCATAACAGGGTACCTTGTAAAAATTCCAGGACTCGGAACCTTTTGTAATAGGTTCCTCAAAATGGGAACCGGAACCTGTTGGAAATTGAGAACCGGAACTGGAACATGTTGAACAGGCTCCGGTTCCGGTTCTGATTCAGGGCACCCTATATTATAATATACTCACTAACTTTTTCGCGGATTTTTTTAATAAAAAACTAGGTTGGTAACTAATTTATTATGTTTGCAACTTGCAAATAAGACAAACTAATAGTAATTGTCTAACAAATTTAATATATATTTCTATAATTATAATTTTGAAATTTATTATTTAAAAATTGAGTAAGAATTTGGGTATAATTTGAAATTAAGTGATACTTTTATCAAGTACTGGGTATCCTACATGTTCCGGTTCTAAAAAATTGAGTATCTGAACTGGAACCTATTACAACAGGTTCTCCAATTTGCTATCTGGAACCGGAACCTGCGATTCCTAACAAGTTCTGGTTCTTATTCAGGGTACCTTTTTTTTTTTGCTCACCCCTAGTAAAGATAGATTTGTAGGTAATGTGGTGATAAGGTTGGTACTATAAGTTATAACGTTGTGTGATTGTGTGTTTTCAAGTTTCTATTAATTTTGTTTTAATTTTGCGTAAAAAGTAGACAATTAAGAACTTATGATACAATTGATAGATACGGAGTAAAGTGTAATCAAGTACCTAACTAGTTTTTCTTTTACACGAGGAATTATCAATGCAAGACACCTTAGCGTACACTAGTAGTTTTGGTGTGTTAAATATCAAAGTTATTGTCAAAAGGGAAGATCTAAACTTCTGTCAAGAGGGCTAATTCAACAATACTTAGGTCAAAATTGATATTTACACTCAAGCACTTTGATAAAACAATAAAACTCAGTAAAAGTACAAGTTGGAAGACAAAATCGATTTTAAATTTAAATTGCAGGACGAAACCACATGGGACAACAATAGGAAGAGCGTAAGTGGGTGTTATTCTCCAGCTTCAATGGCCGGATGATATTGTCACCCATTTGAAAAACACCAATGTCATGTCCCGCAAATTTATCTTTGGTGGCACTGGAACCGAACGGGTAAGTATCTGTAAAGTATATGCTATTGCGTTGGCATCCCATCTCACTTGCACGAACAGACATAGTTGCATTGTTACCCACAAATAGAGCAACATCTTGCAAATCTTTCAACTCTTCCCAACTCCTGTCATCAAACTGAAACTTGTAAACCTTAAAATTAACTGTCTTGTAATAATCAATATCATGTTCATCTTCTCTGACCATTTCTTCAACGTTTATTTCCGTGTCAAATTTCCTCAATACCAAGAGAAGATCCTGACCAGAATTAACTATGTAGGTAGAGTGATCGAAAAAATTAAGTTGCGAATCTGTATGTAGAAATACAGATTGTATATACGGTACGTAACATCCGTACCAACTCAATGCCAGAGGTTTCTTATTCTGAACATCATCAAGGTTTACCAGTGCAATATTGCCACTCTCATTCACGAATACAAGTCCATCGGTACCAAGATTATCCCTACGATATAATACATCCATAACCCTCCGGAGATCTCCCTGTTGTGGAATTACAATTGGTGTCCACTGTGTGTCCCCGGGCTTGGCAATTGCAGCTCTAAGATAGCCATCATACATAAGTACCACCACTAAAGTATCACCTGACACCTTAAGTACAACAACCCTGTTTATGAAATATGCACGAAGGAATTCACCAGAATTATCCCAAAGGAAGGGGATTGTACGGCGACAAGGGAGATCGAGGCGATCCTTGGTAAGAGGGTTAAATAAGTACATGTTATCATCAATCCCTTGAGTTAGTATCCAACCATGAGACGATCCCCAACACTTCCTTCCATATCCTAGATCACACTCGACATTGTAACATCTAACTTTCTCCTGCGTTAAATCCAACAAGCTTCGAGTAGTATTAATATCATCAAACTTGTCTTCACTACTCCTTGCTGCTACGATAACACTCGACTCTACATGATCGGGTTTTAGATAAGGCCCTATCCATTCATGCTCGGTGATATCCTGGTTGCCATCAGTTAGCATTAGCCACGGCATTTGACAATCCCAGTTAACTTCCATCTTCACTTTTTTCCTACAAGCCATAAGCCTTAAGAGTGAAAAACCGAACTCAAAAAAAGTTATCGGTGTTGTGTTGAACTCTTGGACTTGTGACTTTGCGAGTTTCTAATGTCTCAAACTTCCCAACTCTGACTATTTATTAAAAAAAAAAAAAACGTGACCTTCAAGCAAATCCTTATAATAAAAATAAATAAACGCGTTTCATTGTAAATTACGAGATAAATTATTGTGTTCGAAAATAGGAAATAAATTATTTTAAGAGATATTAGGAAATAAATCCTTTTAACAAAAGTTAGGAAACAAATCCTTTCAAATAATTTTTTTATTTTTTATTTATGTGTTTATCGACTATATTAACCACCAAATCAATCGGCAGTTCTGCCCAGTTAACCTCCATCCTAACTTTTTTCCTGAAACAAACAGACCTCTATCATAAACTTGAGTAACAATTAACAGTTAACCTCTATCTGAAACAAGCTAATCACATCATAAACTTCACTAACAATTAGAGGATGCACTACTAATGTCAACAATAACAACCATCATAATCAATTTTTGGCTCTAATTTACTCAAACATGCTCAAATCAAGTCCAAATCAATTGCAATTTGTTTTTAAATCACCCTAGCATCACATATATACATAATCAAAGCCAAAACAACCATCGATTACAAGCAATATGCACAAAATTGAAAACCCCCAAATCGATTTTTCTAGGGTTTTCGGACAAAATAATCTCAAAATTCGAGCAAATTAATAAATGAAATGGAAGAAAACATACATTAGGTCCAGGGGATTTGGGCGGCGGCTCCGATGAGAGATGAAGGGACTGCGGATGAGAGGGGGGTGGCTGCCTTGGCTGGTGGTTAGGGGGTGGTGGTTTTTTTAAAAAAAAAAAATAAATTGAATTATCAAATACGTATTTAGGTGGGTTAGAACTCTTAGAAGATAAAAAAAAATCTCATGCACTCCTCCTCCTCCTTTTTTTTTTTTTTTTTTTTTTTTTTATTATTATTTTTTTTAACCTCTAAATAACTTTCACCAGTCTAAAAAAAATTAACCTTACTTTCAATTTAAAAAAAAAAAATTAACCTCCAAATAACTTCCACTATTATTTTTCCTAATAACAGACATACTAGACCAAAAAAAACTACCTAATTTATATTTTTATTATATTATCCACTAAATTTCTTTTTAGGAACTCCAATATTACAACGAATTGGTATTACACTTTTTTTTTTCCGAACTTTTAGTGCACAACGCTTGAAAAACCAATCATTAAATTATGTACACCATATATTTTTTTATAAATAATATAGACACCATAAGTTTCACTATTTTCCTTTTTAAAAAAAAATCAATTTTTTTTTTGAATAAAATCATTTAGTGGTGGCTACTAGGTTAGTTCCCGTGTCATGCACTGTAATTTTTAATAACCATTATTAAACTATTATTATAATAAGTTTATAAAACAAAAAAAAAATTCTAAAAATATAGTTGGCCAAATTTTGAGCAAAATAAAGGATTGCGTAAGATATGTTATATAAAGCGATGTTGAAAATTAGTAAAATAAAGGAATTCACAAATTATGAGTTAAGAATTTTTTTAATAGCTATATAAATATTCTTGTAAAATATATATCAAATTTTTTTTATTTTAAGTAGTTTTATCGTATAAGATTAGAGAATTATTTTTGTAAATAAATTTTGTTTCTTTAATTGAATTTTATTAAAAAAAAATTATTCAAAAAAAAAAAAAACTAAGGACACACCAGAAAATGACACGTGTCATTGTTGGTGTGTCTTTTTGTATATAGTTATTGTTATTGATTGGTTAAATAAAAGAAATACGAGGAAATCAGTTTCTAATTAGTTAAACAGATTTCTACTTGTAGAAAAAAAAAAATTACCGTAGTGATTCTTTTTTAACAAAAAAATCTCTAAAAAGGTGTTTTTTTGAAAAATTAAAAATGGTGTTTGAAAAGGGTTTTTCTTACAAATCTAATATGTAGTATATAGCACTGTCAAAACGGTTTGACAGTTCGGTTTCGGTTCGGTTTGAAATCGGTTCGGTATTTAATCGAGTCGGTTTGGAATCGGTTTAATTGTCTCATGGGTCGGCTTTGGTTCTGTTTAAATAGTTATCGGTTCGATTCGGTTTCGGTTTATTCTTAAGCGGTTTTAATTCGGTTCGGGTTGTAAACAGTCCGGGTAGTAAACGGTTCAGTGTAGACGAGTTGCGGTTTGTTAACGGTGCGGTGTAAACGGTTTTTATTGATTGGTTAAATAAAAGAAATACGAGAAAATCAGTTTCTAATCAGGTAAACAGACTTGTAGAAAAAAAAATTTACCGTAGTGATTCTTTTTTAACAAAAAAATCTCTAAAAAGGTGTTATTTTGAAAAAAAAAAAATGGTGTTTGAAAAGGGTTTTTCTTACAAATCTAATACGTAGTATATAATTGTAGAGTCGTTTTCACGAGAATCCTCCAAAACCCCAATACTCAACTCATGCATTTTTTTTTTAAAGAAAAAAAATAACTTTTTTCTTTGAAAATAAGTAACATGATCTATAACAAATACGAGTACAAAATACTCTGTGTATGATTTTTTATTATGTATTGAGGTAATTGTAAATTTAATTAAATAGGACAATTATACATTTGAGGTACAATCATCATGATTGGAAAAAAAAAAAAAAAAGTTTGTTTTGTTTTTAATATGATCATCCAAGACTTGTTTCACTAATACAAATAGTAGAATATACGATCATTTGATGCACAAATACGTGCGAACATGTACGTATTATATAATAATGGTTCAAAAAGAATAGTACATTTTAAGTATGTTTTCTTTACAAATCATAAATAAAATGAAAAGAAAAAAAAAATTAAAGCTAATCGTACATAAATAACAACAAACTGAGACATGAATTTCACTTTCACAGTCTCACAGATGCACTTGTAACTGTTGTAAGACCAAAGTGTCACTGACTATCAAAAAATACAATCAACTCAGAGCTACACTAAAACATCGTGAAGCTACTAAACAAAGATGCACTTTGGTCCCTTTGATTTCCTTTTAACTAGCACAAGGAACAACATTGTCACGTCTTTTCGTGCTTTAATCCGAAGGTCCGGCATATGACTTGGTATTTACACAAAAGCTGAGATTTTGAACCAAAAAGCGGTTGCCTAGTGAACCTTATAACTTAGAAGGCAATCTAGCAATTAATACCACATTGATTACCAGCAGCAGCCTTCTCGGCATCAGTGGTGAATGGATTGATCCGAACCCAGAGCAAGGAGAAGATGGAAGCAAGAAGAACGGACCAAACGATAACAATGGTAGGTGTCCTGTTTTGACGACCCAAGAGACCCTTGAGGAAGGGATACAAATGGGCAATCACCCAGAAGGAGAAGAAGAGTTTCCCAAAGAGAGGACCCCATGATTGGTAACCACTGTTGATGGCATAAGAAACACCCGCCACAACACCAACCAAGTTCACAATCAGGACGGTGGTGGGAGGAATGAGAAGTGATGTCCATTTAAATATGTAAAGTTCAGCAAAATCACCATCTTCATCGGCTGCCTTGGAAGTAACAGTAAAGTTGGTATCAATACCGGCGAGCACCTTCAGCAAACCCTGGAAGACGGCAAACAGATGGGCTGATGTGCCTCCAATAACCCAGAACTGCTCGTTTCTCCACCAGTCTTCGATGGAAACTCCACTCCATCTAAGCTCAAGAATACCGGTAGCAGCAATGGACATAAAAAGCATGATAAACAACACACTAGCAAAGTTGCTTAGCTGTAAGAAGACACAAGAAATTATTTCAGAATCAACATTTAAAAGACTAAGTAAACATTTTGACATGTTCTACTTCATATATTTATTGACAGAACTCCAATTTATTTAGTCCAAAAAGTGGAAACAATACTTACCGTGGGAATGATAAATTTATTTGTTAAAAGACAGATAGCAGGCAAAATACAGTAGGCGATAAGTGGAATAGACGTCAGTGGATAGACGACAGTGTTGATGTATGCCAATCTCTCCAAGAATCTCAACCTCCCCTTGTAACCGTACCATACAGGACAATGTCTACTAAGCATAATCTCAATAGACCCCAGAGCCCATCGAAGTACTTGATTCAAACGATCAGAAAGATTGAGGGGAGCAGAACCCTTAAAGGCTGGTCTGGTAGGCATGCAGTAGATAGAAATCCAGCCACGAGCATGCATCTTAAATCCAGTCAAAATATCTTCTGTGACGGAACCATAAATCCACCCAATCTGGATAATAAACATTATTACGCGACATAAGCTTTTCATTTATTTAAAAAAAAAAAAAAAACTTTCCACAATGACATTGCTCATGTAGAAAAATCATGTCAAATTTAACAAAATAGTCCTTTGTCCGCCAAATGAGTGAATGACAAAGATGATCTTACAAAACAACTGGGGATTAAAAATACACCACCTTTTAATTTTAACAAAATAAACAGTTTGTGGGATCTTAATCTTATAGCGTCAAAGAGTGAGGAAAATAAATTAAGGTGGATAAACCACGACAAGGGGTAGTTCTGTGAATATTGGTATAACAAGGGGCTGTTATAGACAGATTTCCTGAAATGCGTAAATTTTCAAATTTTTTCCTATTGCAATGAAGGTTTCTACTTTGCTCACCTCTTTACCCCATTCTGATTTGTCCTCGTATCCACAACTAATAACATGGATGGCTTCTTTCAGCAGTGTTGCAGGATTTGTTGTAGGAGGAATGCCTCCCATTTCCATGAAGGTGGCTGCAATGAACACTGGTGACTGACCAAATCGCTTCTCTAATCTCTTCTGAGACATAAGCAGAGACTTCTCATCCTCATAGCCTGTCCAACAAGAAATCAGTGAATTATTTACCTCTTTAGACCACAAAAGCAATAGCACCATCCAACAATAATGTTTACTCTTTAGCTCTTACTATTTAGCCACAAGCACAACACTAAAAGAGTAACGGCAATAGAGAGCAAAAAAAATGCATATATATATTTACCTTCAACACCCTCTTCGATGTCTTCCATGTTGAAAATTGGTATGGAAGATTCACTTCTTTTGGGTCCCCTCTTCTTATCCGTGTACTTTTTGTTACCACTCTTCCCCTTCTTTCTTGATCCAAAACAGTTTTTGATGATGAAATTTGGTTCCAAATCCTCTTCACTTAACACTGGATCATACCCATAGAGTGCTTGTCTGTTGAAACAACATCCAGTACCCACATACACTGGCCCTTGGATGCCGTCCTGCCCTTTCATATTGATCTGCAAAATACAAGGACAAAAATTATTCAATATTTGAAACAACTAGGAGACAGGTCTACAACAATATTTTCAGTATTAGAGAATGGATACATACATCAAAAAACACTATATTTCTGTTAGCATATCGATCGTGCAAATCTATGCCATCAAATCTTTGAGGGAATTGCACATAGCAGACTTTCTTCCCAAGAGCAGGATCCATCATGAAACACATGGCTTCTTTAAGACATTTGCTGTTGTTGAAGTAGTGATCACAATCGACATTCAACATATATGCGCCATTGGTCAGTACTGCAGAAACACGAATCTGCAGAATCCAGTAAAACTTTAGGTTTAACTCAAATAGTCGCTAATAATAGAGAAATTATAACTTTTCCAAAAATAATGATCAAGCACATATGACAAGGACAAATGCAAGCTAAGACATCAGGCATCACAGAATTAAAGTTTAGAAATCCACATCAAATGTGATGAATGTGTCAAATAATACATGAGTAATAAAGAGTAAATACTGCACATTATTTTAAAAAAAAAAAGGTGGGAAGATTGAAGCGTATACGAACCAAAGCATTCATGGCACCAGCTTTCTTGTGATGTTGGAAACCAGGTCTCTTCTCACGGGAAACATAGACTAAACGCGGCAGTTCATTTCCATCCATGTCAAGGCCTCCACTATGGCCTAAAAACACCTGTAAAACCAAGGAGTGTTAGATCATGAAGGCAAGCAAATAAACGAGAGATTAAAGTACAGTAACTAAAAAATAATGATTTTACCTGAATCATTCCTGGATGGTCCCTGGGGTTATTTCCAGGCCAGGCTGTTCCATCTTGCATTGTCCATCCTTCTTCAGGCACCTTCTGTGCTTTTGCAACAAGGGCGTTGATGCGGACCTTAAATTCTTCATACTCCCTCTGCATTTAAAAGGGCAACAATCATTACTCTCCAGAGATTGATCAGTGATGGACAGTAGGCCATTTCAAAACCTAACAAGCAGTGGGAAGGCTTGGAGCACTAGCCGAAAGCAGGCTTATTTTATAGAGTATTATCAATTAAAAAAAAAAATGCTCAAAAAGGTCAAACCAACTAGTCTGGGCTTTAAATGGGCTGGTTTACAAAGCAGTATCTTTTAGACTAAGCCCATGACCCAACAGTACAACCCGAGCCTCAACTGAGTACTAGACAAAATCTTAAATAACACAAAATATATGATTGTTACCTTCATTGATCTACGCTCCTTGACAAAAGATGGCTGAATTTTGTCTTTTAAGTAATCGATCTTCTGTTGAAAGTAAAATTCTGGAGCCCTTGGCTCAATATTGAACTTCTTACAGAATGGAACCCATTTCCTGGCAAACTCAGCAGTCTCAGAAAGACCTTCAAATGTCAGCATAGCAGACCCATCATCTGAAACGTAGCAAGAAACTTTGTCGACTGGGTAGTCCACTGCTAGAATGGACAGCACAGTGTTAGCTGTAATGATAGGCGGCTCTTTCAGAGGATCCACAGTACTGACAAACACATCAATAGGAGCTAACTGTGATGGCTCTCCTTCGCGGTCATGCCTAGCAAAGTACGCATAATTTTCAAGATCAGTCTTGTCCTAATGACCACAAAAATAACAATAATTTGCCAATCCAAAAATCAATAAAGATAAATATTTCAAAATGTTCACAAGTGACGACAACAACAACACATACAGGAGAAAGATAGCAATGCAAACTGACCTGAATGCAAGCCTGTCAAGGTATGTCTCACGGTTGATAGGATACCATTTTGGAAACTGATCCAAAATCCATGACATTGCGAACCAGATCTCACAGATAACTGATGTGAGCCACAGAGGATATGCATCCTTCACAGGATGGGTTATACGATATTGCAAGAAGAAGGCTAAGATGATCAGCCGAAGAACAATCACAGCTCGATAAGGAGTGAGATGCGATGAAGGGATAGGGACAATGCGACTCATTGGTTGACGCACATCATCAGCCCTGCAAAAGAAAAAATAAGGTTTCATATTCCATGTTCCAACTCAGGACAAGCATGATCTAAGACCAAGCCTTTGTCATCATTTGGTGTAAGTAGAGCATAAAATTAGAGCACATGGGATCTCAGGAAAACATTTTAATGCAAACCTCAAAACCAGCCCCCTCCCCTCCCCGCCCCCAAAAAAGATAAAAATAAAAATAAAAAAGAGAGCAGAAAAGCACAGGAAAGATGCTCACATCTGGAGTTCTTCACCATTTGAACCAGAGCCTTCCATGTCACCACCTCCTTTTCCTTCTGAATATCGATTCCCCATGTGAGTCATATTTTTCTCCTGCTTGAGTTTCCAACTTTCAACTCTTTCCTTCCAGTCCACACTACCAAGCCCATATGAATTCAAGTCCTTTGAAGGGTCCACAATTCTCACAGGAACTGTCACAACAAAATTTAAGGCATTAGCATCAATAACATACAAAATGAAAAATACTGACATTTGTACCAAATTACCAATACAGCAGTATGAGTAACAAAGATTACCTGGTTGGGATGGATCAATGTAAGGAAGTGAGTGGTTACCACGCTTCTCAGGACCTATAGGACCTGATGTGCTTCTCACAGATTGATTGTCAGGTGTGGCACTCGGGATCTCCCCAGAAACCTGAGACAAAAACAAAATTGAATTCAGTAAACAGCTAGTTTTCCAGCCATAAACAGTAACCACAATTCACCCAACAGATAACTAGCGTGGAGATACTCTATAAGTACATTGTCGAGCACATCCAATATGAATAGAAAAAGGTCCTAGGGCTGATGGTAATCAAAAGGATAATCTCATATATATTCAGAAACAAGTAACATATTAAATAGAATATATATAATTTAAAATTTGGTCCAAACTACTTACAAGTCAAAAAGAGAATCACCATAGAGATATCACATCACCCGACAGTGAAACATCAAAAGTCACTGAAACCCCATATTTACCAGAATAACATTGAAAAGTATGCAGTAGCTAATAAGTAACTGCACATAGCAATTATCAAACTAAATATTTGCACCATCAATTTCTAGCAAAGAATCACTAATTTCTCATAGAGCAGTATATTAAAGCTTCTCGTTAAAAAGGTATGCTTTCAGACGTAATTCCAAGGTGCCTCATTCGGAAGACTAATACGAGCTTATTTCCCAACCACTGTATAGCAATAAATACAGACCAGTTGGAAACCAAACGATAATTTGCAAGACTCACATAACAAGCCTTATCCAATAATTAAAATAGAAAAGAGCTTGAATAGAAATTGCAGCAATTACCACTTGACCATTGGTAAGGAGAGGAATTGGCTGAGATCCATGCCTAGAAGATGAGGAGAGGTCTACATCTTCTCCCTGCCATTCATTTCTAGCCTTGCTGGTTCCCCTAGTATAATTGAATTCATTCTCCAAATCATCAACATCATCCTCCTCATCATCTCCTTCCACTCGAGGACTCCCTGATGCAAAACTCATGTTAACAATTATTCTCCAGTGCTAAACAGGCAGAGTTTGATAAAACAAATGAAGAATTAGTGATAGTCAGAAAGATATAAAGCATAGAAGCTAAAACAAGCAAACCTTTTTGTCTCTTGTATCGAGTCTTGCACTGGGGGCAACACTGATTTCCATCTTTTCTTTCATACTCATAACAAGGCCTACAAACTGGAAAAGCACATTCGTTGCAAGCAACAAAGACACCACCATTTGAAGTAACTCCCACAGTATCCCCACAGATCTGACAGATTTGGCCGTCCAAATTCTTCAAAGGTTTGGACTGCAATTTACACAAAATAAAAAAACCAACACTCGTCAAATGGCTATAAATTACAAAGGAGACTGCTGATCACAATGCACAAGGCTCACATCAACAGCTAGAAATTGAAATAATTGACTAGACAACAGAATATAATGACACATTTGCAATGGAAACAATCTCAAACAAATCTTTCAACATGCATCCTGCTCCGATTCAAAACAATATTTTCAATCTACACCATCTTATATGACACTCATTAATTCTTAGTAATACAAAGCTATTTAGATAAAGACATCAACTTTCTAATCCAATTGTAATTGACATAATCATGATTGAAATTTATAATCCACGATCCCACGACGAAGATTATCATCTAATTAACCCGAACAATTAAGCATCAGAACTCTGATCACTTGCTGCAGCACGAAATCACACACAACAACCATCTAATTAACCCGAACAATCAAGCATCAGAACTCTAATCACTCACTGCAGCACGAAGTCACACACAACAATCGATTAAAGCACAAATCCCACTCAAACTGCCCAATTACTTTCAAGAATTATCAGTATAAACAACCAAAATCACTTCATTGAAGTTGAAACCTAAGTACCTAAAATCTAGCTCATTTGATCCCATGATCAGAAATCAGAATTGAGCTATGAACAGTAAATTACTACAGTATCACTCCTCAAAAACACTAATTAATTTCAATTTCGGTCAATTTCAGACATCATAAACTCACTATTACATCAATTATCAATTAATCTGAATCACCAATAAACAATTCACAACCTTCAATAATCAAAACAGATCAAACCATTGATTCAATCAATCAGCATAGATCTAATAATTATAATAAAAACAGAAATGTAAATCTAAATTACTTTTATAATAATAAAAAATTACAAAGATGCAAAATCTTGAACAGATCAAATCAAGATTAAATTTTGACTAAGAAAACTCACCCCACTATCAGTACTATCATGCCGAATCCTAACAAGTTCATTCCTATTGTAAGATCCAGCCACCATACCACCAGCCTCCATTGTTAAGCTATGAAATTCTGAGCAAATTCAACCCAAAATGAAGCAGATTTTAGTGGGTGAGGGGTATTTTGGGGAGATCTGAAATGGTTATTTGCTCAATTTGTAAGAAACCCAAGCAAATGAAAAGGGTAATATCAAATCATATCGATATCCCCTGTTTCTTCGCCTCCCTTTTGATTTTCTCTCTCCTCCCCTACTCTTCTCAAGTACACAACACTTTCTCTATTAAGTGGGCTTATATTAGTTTAATGTGTGTGCTCCTAATTGCATTACTTAAATCAATTATGATTGTAATAATGCAATATCATTACTTAATTGTATTTTGACTTGAGTGATTTTTAAGGCTGAAATCAGGTATTTGTCGGTGTAGTTTTGTTTATAAAGGTCACAAGTTCAACTTCTAGTTTTTTCTATCTTAACAAGTTAAAAGCTATACTCTCCTTAAAAAAAAAAAAAAAAAAAAAAAAAAAAAAAAGTTAAAAGCTATACTCCATAATAGTGTAATACTAAGAATTAATTCATTTTACCAAATATTATAAATTATTAAATAATATATAATGAGATTCGATCCTATATCAAGTATTGTATAAAATTGTAATTCACGTAATTGTTTTGTTACAAAATATACATGCTACGTATATATCAATAATCTACGCATCACCATAATTGTTCTAAAATTTTATGCAATATTCAGTGTTCAGATTATTTTGTAACAAAACTAGTACAGTAGTACTCTATAAAACTTTTACTTGTAAAACGAAGTATTAGTGTATTACTACATATTTGTAGTCTTTAATTATTATTATTATTATTATTATTATTATATTTGGAAAGTAGTCTGTAATTTATTTAGACATGACTACATGTCTAGATGAGAATGTAAACGTGATAATCCTATGGAGTATTAAAAAAGATAATAAGATGAATGCAATTTGTGATACGTAGTACAGTACTTGTATTTTCCATGTTTATGGAAAATAAAAAATGTAGGAGGACAGTCTGTACTTGTTAAAATTGTAGAGTGTCGGTAGAGTCTAGCAATAATAAAGCCCAAAAGACCAAAATGCCCTGTCGGTGGAACTCGCTTGTTTGGTGGACTCGAACATTTGTTGGCTACTTAAGATCTATACTGAATTTACAACATTACCCTTGTAGAAGTTGAAAGTTTGATCTTTGAAAATTCGGATGTCGCTGTCAAATAGCTGTTTCCAGTGAGGGTATTTTCGTCTGAAATGACTAGTTTAAGTAGTTGGGTTGGATAGATACTTCTAACTAACGCCAACGTAGTAAGTAGCATATGTCAAAATGGTAGCATCACTATTTTTAGTCTGCAACACTCTTTTACTTTTTTTTTTTTTGAATTGTTCAATATCTGGTCTTAATATTTTTAGAAACCTGTTCATTTTTTTTAAATTTTTATTTAGTGTGTTGTCCGGGGCAATGTTCCAGTTTGTTAGTTTGTACTTGTTGGTTTTGAGTTTAAGTCTTGTTATAAACAATTTTTAGTTGTTAAACTCAATCATAACATTTTTCGAGAGTGAGTGATAGCTCAAGTGGTTAGAGTTTTCCTCCCGGTTTCAGTTGATCCTGGGATCAATTCTCACCCCTGTCCTTGTGGCTCTTTAAACAAAAAAAAAAAAAAAAAAAGGAAACAAATAGTATACTAAAACACCCATTCGCAAAAAAAAAATAATAAAAAAAAATAAATAAAAATAAAAAAAATCAATTAACTTATTTAAATCAACTACTACCTACGTTAAATGTTATTGTTGGTCTTGAGTTCAACTCTTCTTATATACGTATTCTCTTTTAAGAACGCTTTTTAATATATAAGGGTCTGTTCTCATTGACTGAACTGAACTGAACTGAACTCAGCTAAACTGAACTGAACTGAACTCAATTGAAATGAATATTTTATAAGAGAAGGAAATTAGGAGATGAATTGAACTGAACTGAACTGAACTGAATTGAACTGAACTGGACTGAACTGAATTGAACTGAACTGAATTGAACTCAGCTGAACTGAACTGAATTGAACTCAGCTGAACTGAACTGAATTTCAACGTAAGAGAACAAGCCCTAAGTATAGATATAGATTCTTAAACGAAGCATGTCTGTAATTCAATAATTATGAATTTGCGAGTAAAAAAAAAACTTATGAAAACTACATAATATACTTTTTTTTTCATGACCCAATTCACCCTTTGGACTAATCTGGATTTGGGGATCAATTCTGGGTGGTTAAGTTCCAGCCCCCTCTCAATTGTTGTTGCAGAGATCAAACACAGGTCCTCCCCACCAAGTGTAGTTCCAATCACCACTACACAAACATCTAATTGATAACTTATCTTAATTTATTAGATCTTATTAAAACTTAATTTAGTTGTAACTTGTACTTGGGTAACCCTTATTATAACTTATTAAACCAGAACTGAACTTATCTTGACTTATCAAAATTTAACTGAACTTATCTGAACTTATCACACCTAAAATAAGATGAACAGAACACACCCAAAATATAATTAAATGTAAAAATCATATTAGATCAGAAAAGTTCAGATAAGATAAATAAAACGTATTGTGAACGTCACACGCCCACACCTAACACTTGAGAGTCCAAAGTTACAGGGATGTAAGAGAATATCCTATCAGTCTACGTACTACTCCATATTAGGCACAAGTATGGGTGTCAATTCGAATGATCGTATCGGGCCGAGTCAATTTTAAAAGTTAAGTCATAGTACTAAATTATTATATCCACGCGAGTCCAAATCTAAATTGGATATTTTTCGACTCAGCTCGAATCTAGTGTGCTTTTAACACCTCTGAGCAGAAGTAGATGGCGAGATTTGGAAGTTGAGGAGGAGGTACACTGTACACACTATATATCTCGACCAAGCTCGCTTAATTGGATGGAACTTTAATCTCCCACTTACGTGACTATAGGAATAAACAATTTATCTTTTGTACTCCCTCCGTCCCTAAATTACATTCCTCTTTGGAAATTTATACGTATAAAATAAGACAAATAACAATAATTAGATAATGCAATGGGAAGTACAAAGATAGATTAGTTATTACTCATGACATGTCATCAATCCTTTGCAAAAAAAAAAGGACCAATTACATGCTCCTAATTGAAAATTTTTAACTAATCACATTCATTGTAATTTGGCACAAGAATTATAAGTGAGATTAGGTAAGGATGAGTGAGAAAGCATTAAATATAAAACAGAAAAAGTGAGTTGATTTACTAAAAAAAAACTTTCCAAAAATAGAAAGGAGGAATATAATTTTGGAATACCAAAATTAGAAGGAAGAATGTAATTTAGGGACGGAAGGAGTATGTTGTATTTTGGAATACCAAAAATAGAAAGGTAGAATGTAATTTAGGGACGGAAGGAGTATATTTTATTGGTCAGTAGTCAAATCTATCTATACTTAGTATTTAAAAAGACAAACCACAATCACCTATATGCCACATGTCATCATAATTCACCCATATGCCACATAACACATCCATTAATATTTCTTCTTTATACTCTCTTTTAAAGTAAAAGATAAAAAAATGTTATTGAATGTTAAAGTCTTTATGCATTCCTAACTTACAAATTTGAGTAAGAAAATGGAGTGTTCCATTTTCACTATAAAAAAAGTTGTACTCCTCTTTATACCCCTTTTAATGTAATAGTTAAAATAACAAATTATTTAATGTTAAAATCTTTATGTATTCCTAACTTGCAAATTTTAAGTAAGAAAATTAAGTAAATTATTACAAAAAATCACCGACACATACAACACAAATAAGCAAACTTATTAAATGTAGCTACAACCCGTTCATTGAACGGGCCAAAAGGCTAGTTATTTACAGAAAAACTTATTAAATGTTTAATTAAAATAAATTAATTTGGACAAAACATGTTAAATTATTATTCTTTTATATCTGTTATTTTTCAATAAACTATTAGAAACTATTCAACTATCTTATACCGTATATTTTTTTAACACTTTAATTAACCACTTACCTCTTAAAATTATTGCTTAAAATTATGTATCAATTCTTTAAAATAAATTTTATGTATCGGTTAAATTGTAATACAATAAGAAAAAATTGAGAAAGTATTCTTTGATTGATTCTTGACTCTTTTTCTATTAATTAAGTGGATGACTAAGAACCTAATCTCATCAAACATTATAAATAAACGGTCTATTCGCTTAAAAAAAAAAGGAAAAATGTTGAAACTACTTCAAAAAAAAAGTACGAGTAGACTACTAAGATTTTGAAGAACCGCTTGAAAATCCTACGTCAAATTCCATGGAATGTTGTACATGATTTGCTTGGAACATTCAAAATGTTTGCTACCATACCGATACACCATACACCTAGCACTATTAAACCTTGTGACATACGTAGTATGAAGTAGTATTAAGAACAACTGAACATGGAACTCGCGGAATTGTTCCATAACACTCACACATATATTTTCCGATATTATTTGATCTCATATCTCTAACATCCTTACTTCCATTTGTCAAACTCTAATCCTTCAGCAAAAACATCTTCTCAACACAAACTTCAACAATCAAAGTGTTGCTTACTAAGTAGCCCTTTGAAGAATAAAGTAGATCATTGATAGACAGAAAGGCTGAAGAGCCACATCTGTTTTCACTTGCAGAAAACCATTGATAACCTGCAACATATATAATAAAGAAACCAGATTAAGTATTTAAGGACACAAGCTAAAAAGTTAACATAAATTAGACAATATGTCTGCAGGTAGAGGATTATAGTTAAGTGATCTTACAGAGTTTCTGGTGGTTTTCTCCTTCGCGCTGGTTTTTGAGCTTAAGAAAATATTCAACATACAGTTTGTTGCCGTAATTTAGCCCTGAGCTACTGTCTAGCTGCAGATACAATAAGAGGTATTCTCCATTCATATTACAAATTCCTTTTGGATATAAATCCAACCTCCTGGCAAAAATACAGAGATGATGAATCAAAGAATTGAAGTTCTAAAGTACTCTTGAGTCTTGATCTAATATGTCTTATAGTACAGATAGAAATGACAGACTTAAATGATAAAATGTCAATAAACTTAAGTTAGATTCATAGATTGAATATTGTATCTGATAAAAAAAAAAAACAACAACACTACTTGTGCATTGTTGTTAAAACTTTTCTCAGTATTTTAAAATGCAAGATTGTTTAAAATGAGTGAAAGGAAACAATAAATACATACCAAGACCGTCCATTTAACTAGAATACAGGAGAATACAAATTTGTTGGAGCAGTCGTCAATGTAAAATTCTTAATTCTCCAGGTATAGCTCCTGACACAATCTTCTTCCGGAATCGACATAGTAGATATCTTGGCCTGGTTTTTGAGGACAAAAACCTCAGCACCAAATACACAGTAATCATCCACCAAAAATCCATTTTCCGGATCATTGAAAGTAGAAATGGGAAGAAATTTAGAGACTCCCCATGTATTTTTCAAATAATGGAATCGCTTCTCTCTTGCATCTGCTTCATAATTAACAATTTAACATCCACTTATTAAGCACCGAAATAAAAGTTCGTAATCTTAAGATGAAAGCGTGTTTTCCTAAGATTGTCTCCACATACACTAGCTTATTATCAAAAATTACGTGATAACATATTGTGCATTTGAACAAAACGAATTAGAACACGTTTAATTCTTTAAATTGAAGCAAGAATCCAAGCCTAAGACAGAGAGATAGGCATCCCTAAGCTGATCATAAAGGTAAAATCGAAGCACAGCATCGACAAAGCTACCAGGTGCGAGTTTATCAACCAATGTCACATAAACTGAGAGGTGATCGTCTACGTGTTCTTGCTTGTTCCCTTTAGGAAAAACAGACAGAACCCTGAAGCAAATATTAACATACACCCCCAAATGATCAAATTAAAAAACCACATATATAATATTAATCTTTACAAAGCATGCTAAGAGATTGAAAGGTACCCCTCACCATGTATAGCCCCCCGTGCCAAATGCTATCGATTTAAAACTAGCTTCATTACACTTATATATGGATGCATCTTGAAACACCGAGAATGATTCAATTTTCAGAATACAATGTGCTGGTGGTTTTTCTGTCATTAGTCTCACAACTTCTGCAAAAAAGATGCAAAGAATATACAATAAGTTCGTTGAATAAAACAAAAGTAAAAATTATAAATGAACGCAAAGTGCAAGTTCATAAACATACCCCCATCTTTGTCTATAAGACTAAGAGGTTCACTGCGTTTCAAAGGGAGGAGTTTCTATTCCATCTTGATCATTATAGTAGCACAACTTCAATCTAAAAATTTATGTAAAGTACAATGTAGGAGTGCATTCCATTATATACTAGGTAGTGTGTCCTTTAATTTTCACTTTGTTGTTTGAAACGGAGAGATGTATATTACAAAGTGGATCATTTCCCAACTTGTAACTTTCTAGTAAATCTAGTTTTTCTTAAGCTTGTTTTTTTTGTACTCGACTCTTTTTCTTCCATTCCTTGAACACTTCTCCCTAGTAGAATATTTTTCATTACACATGACTTGATGACTATACGTCTATACGTTCCTTACACTGATTCACACAGTTATGAAAAATGTAAATTTCAAAACTAATGTTTCATACTCCTCTTAACATTATTATAGGACGGAAATGACCAACTGTTGCATTTTGCTAGTTTATAGCCCGTCTTTAGAGTTGAATACATTAAATGGTTTTTCTATTGAAAAATTCACATTGGTAAATGTATCTTTATCTGTTTTTTTTTTTAAAAAAAAACCACATAAGTAATTTTTATGACCATGTATTATCATAAGTCTATATTATCCGAAATGCCTCATTCTTCTCCATTACAGCTTCACAAATACATTAACAAGGGAAAATCTTTTAATAACGAGACTGACTTACATTTAAACTAATAAATGCGGAGTACGTACTACTAAAGTTTATTGATACTTCTTCACATTGTTACAAATTCATATCTTATACCATGATTAAGTTTCAGAACATTGGAAACGTTATATTGTGTTAGAACTTAGAAATTGAACATCTTTTAAGATCCTACCCTTTAAGCCTTCGTGTTTCTAGGTGCAAATGAATCCCCAATTCCTCGCCTCCAAGAGCATCCCCAGCTTATATGTACAATTCGATTGATGATCATGAATTAACTTACATCTAATCTTCAAATCAAAGAAAGCTAATATAAGATTCGTATTTCCAAAAGGGGTCATTCAAATTATCTTTTAAGTAGCTCCAGTTTCGCAAAAAGCTACTCATAACCGGTGTCCATAAATTAGTTACTCCATTGCATTTTCGGGTTAAATCTTCAAAAACCTTGACCACAACTCCCATTAATCTAGCTTTAAAGGTATTACTATTTAACATGCATCTTAAAGATCACGAGAGGTATGGAATAGATGGAGTTGTAGATTAATGGAGTATTGCTTTAGGTATCACTTCTCAATTGAGAAGTATATATATATATATATACATGTATTGTCTTTTATTTCTGGTGCTATGCCTTTGCCAGCCTTGCATGATCAGTCACACACTCAGACAGTCACACCATATAAATTTAAAATTATATTTGGCATACCAATAATGCTGTAATTTCACTGTCTATTTGCCAAAAAGAATTAAGAACAATTTAAAAGGGAGAAATGTTGAAACTGTTTCATTGTACCAGTTGACTACTATTATACTAGGAATCCAAAACAAATAAAATTTTTAGCGACATGCATCAAGTTCCATGGGATGTTGTACATGATATCCTTGAAACATTCAAAATGCTACCATAGGCATAAAGCAAGAGAAACATCAGTTGTATTGCACATTGCATTAATAAACCTTTTCACATAGTATTAACAAAGGAATGAACTCTCAGAATTGTGTCTTGTTCGAAATCCATAACGCTTCTTACTCCATGTCTTTCAGCATAAACATCTTGTCAATAGAAACTTCAACGATAATAGTGTCATCTACTAAGTAGCTATTCGTAGAATCATGTAGACCACTCAGAGAAATAAAGTCTGGGTAGCCCCAACAGTCCTCACTTGCAGAAAACCAGCAGTTATGCCCTGCAAAAAAAAAAAACAAAGGACACTAGCTGAATTTTTTACAGGAAACTAGATATTATGTCTTCTCAGGTAGAGAGCAGCTAGTAAAAGTTATCTTATTTACCGTGTTTGTAGTGATCTTCTCCTTGGCGTTGATTCTTTAAGTAAAGAAAATATTCAACGTACAGCTTGTTACCGTGCGTTAGCCCGGAACTATTGTTTAGCCGCAGATATAATGCGAGGTATTTACCATCATCAGCCACCCCTCTTGGATATAATTCCAATTTCCTGAAATATTACAGTCGAAGACTACAAATCAGAGAAACTAAGCATATTTAGTCACACTAGAGTGAAATTTTCCACTTCTAATTGAAAGTAAGAATTCATCAGAAGTTCAGAACTAGTATCTATCTATATTGCATTGGAATGATTGAAAGCAACCATATTTGCATTTTAAAAAGAAATGTTATACATAGCCTTCAGGGCTACATATAAGCATTAAATTTACACTTTAAAATTGTAAATAGTTAAGAAATCATGAAAATATAAACATCATACAGGAGAATGCAATTATAACAAATATAAACATACCATGACCATCCATTATAGCAAAATACAGGAGAATGCAATTCATCATTGTTTCCGTCTGGATCTGATTTCCCAAGAACTCGGACCTGAGATCCTGATACCCCTATCCGCAAGCCGAGAACCTACACAATGAGAAGAAGTTAGCTAACCCCGGGGTGGTCCGAGGATAACCACTCCGATGACAAAGTCAGAAAGTGTTCTAGAGAAGAAGATAAATATGAGAGAGAAAGTAGAGAGAGAGAGAGAGAGGGTCATTAATGCCCTCATAAATGAGGTCTTACCTACTATTTATAATGATCCACTTGACAGGTGACTCTCATCCATGCAAAGCCTCCTGCGCCAAGTGTCGAGCTTCTGTTGTCACGTGCCGAATTCCGACAAGCCGATATGCCTGCTTTTTGGTGCATATCGGCGCCTTTTGCCTTTTCACAATTATTCAGAGTTTGATCACGTGCTTTTACAAGATATTGGTCCTACCTAGATATCATCCCATACAATTAGCCCCCCAAGTGAGGACGCATGATCACACATCATCGTTCTCAGTTAATGTAGCCGACAAACCTAACCTAACTAAACAAACTTTGGGTTCCACTTCTCATTCTTCGAATTTTACCTCATCTTGGAAGTTTCATGTGATAACATTTCTTGTACTCTGTCAACAAAACTTTATTGCTATCCCTGCCGTTGCTGCAGTTCGTTATACCCGTTTGGCTTATGCTCAAACAATCTTTTGCTGAGAAGATTTGCTTCTATGTTCTTTTAAGCTCTATATTCTTTTGCTGGGAAGATTTATTTTTATTATTTATTATTTTATTTTATTATTATTATTTTTTTTTTGCAATTTTCAGGACAACTTTTGTACAGTGTTATAATCCCATAGTGTATTCATTTGCATTATCTTTGGTGTTATCTCCCAAATTTATACTTTTATACTTCCTCGACACATTAATCTATCGACTCCTTTTTTTCCCCCCAAGTGACCTTGTGTGCTGATAGCAGACAAGGTTCACTTACTACAAAATATATGGGAGCGAAAAACTCTGTTTTCCCCCCCAAGTGACCTTGTGTGCCGATAGCAGACAAGGTCCACTTATTGTAAAATATATGGGAGTGAAAAACTCCGTTTTCCCCCCCAAGTGACCTTGTGTGCCGATAGCAGACAAGGTCCACTCATTGCAAAATATATGGGAGCGAAAAACTCCGTTTCCCCCCCCAAGTGACCTGGTGTGCCGATAGCAGACAAGGTCCACTTATTGCAAAATATATGGGAGCGAAAAACTCTGTTTTTCCCCCTCAAGTGACCTTGTGTGCCGATAGCAGACAAGGTCTTTTTTTTTTTTTTAAGCGGGAAAATTAGTACACGTGTCGCAAATCCTACCGCTGCTTTTGAAATTGATTGTGGATTCAGGGCTGTTAGATCTCTGAACCGCCATTCACTTCAACTGACTTTTCAGTTTCTTCTTTAAGATCAAAATTCCGCCATTTTTCATTTTATTTCTGATTTTCCTAAAGTTTTCTCTCAGTGTCAATTGTTCTTCAATCAAAGGTTTACTCTTCTTACTTTTCTCGATTTCGGCCTGCGCTTCTCAGTATATTCGGCGTGCTTTTCTTCTTCGTCACTTCTCGCTTTTTAAGTACATCGTATCAGCGACTTTCGTTGAAAGTATTGCCGCTCCCTAACCCGTGATTTTGCATGTTTGTTTTATTTTCTCATTTTTTTTAAATTAAATGTCTGAAGATAGTGTCAAAGAGAATCTCCCTAACCTTAGTACCGCTAGGCGTCGTTTAATTAGGCAATCCCTAGGCAAAGAAACCGGTAGTAATCAGGGTAATTCATCTTCCCTTTCTGATAATATTGACTATCCATTTGAGACGTTATCTTCTGAAGAAGAAAAACGTGATTTTATGCTACATAGGTCTATTGCCCACTGCGAACGTGCCTATTATCCCACTAATCCTGATATTCCTGCTGATACTGAAATTCTTGACGTTGAGCCTGTTAGTGTTCGTTATCACTTACGCAACTTTGCTGGGAAACGCTATTTTAATCAATACGGCACTAACGTTGGCAATATAGGTATAAACACCATGCCAAGGGTAAAGAGTACCAGTTATCAGCCTTGAGCTGCTGCCCGTGAGGCTGCTGAGGCCGCCAATGCAGCTAAGGCAGCCGAGGCCGCTAAGGCAGCTGAATCCAGCAAAAGACCTGGGCAAGGTCAAGTTGTGAGTTCTTCTGAAGAAGAACAAGTAGCTAATATCCCTGTAAACCCCCAGGAAGGTCCGTCATCTCCCGTTCATGATTCAACTGTCAATTCGGTTTTAGGAGATGACGAGACTCAAGAAGGTAGTATCAACAATGAGAGCAGGGAAGACATTGTTGACATGACGACAGAGGTTATCCAGGAAGAGAACCTGGACGAGGGCTATAACTCTGAAACTGACGGAGCTGAATTCCGACAACCTATTACTCTTGCCAGAGATGGAAAAGTGGCTAAGGCAAAAATAAATGACGATTTTAGGAAAACGTCAATTGAAAAAGATTACTGCCATCGTGCTAAGAAATTTTTCAACTTACCTGACGGGTATGAGCTGTCAATTCCCCCTTTTGGAGCCTCGGTATTAGATTGTCCGGCAGGTTCTGTGGCCGTCTATATGAAGCATTTATACTTCGGCCTTCGCTTTCCTTTACATCCCTTTGTGGAAAAAATCCTGAAGGCCTGAAACGTCTGTTTAGTTCAGGTGACTCCTCCCACTATTCGGGCCATTATTGCCACCATCTGGGTTATGCTGTATCGAAACTATCCCCTAACCCTTAACGTTTTTAGACGACTGATTACTCTGAAGAGAGATGGTCAGTCAGATGGGTGGTGGTCTTTGTATACCCAACCTCACAAATATACCGTCCACCCTAAGCTAACAAGTTGCAAGGGTTGGCAAGTCAGGTTCTTTTTCATGTCGGTTCCTAAGGACTTTCCTTTGAGAAGAACCTTTTTCCAGCCTCATCCTCGTTTTGACTCAATTCCCTAGAGAGATCTTGGTAAACATGAGGAGAGAGCCGTCAATCACTTTGACGTCTCAGAATTTGATGAAGATGACTGCAAGGTCCGCATAGTTCCTAAGGTGTGGGTGCCGAATGTGAGTTACATTCTGGGCAACGCGCCGTTATCTCGTGTCGGTCTCTGTTGGACTGACCATTATGGTACTGTTTATTTTATCGACCTCTTTCCTTAGTTTTTTTTTGTTTTTTTTTTTTTTTGTTTTTTTTTTTTTTTTTACAAAATTGTTTGCACCTGGCTGATTGAATTTTCAATTTTTGCTCTCAGGTATTGATAAGTTGGACAACAGACAACTCGGCCTATCTTCTGACGGGAAAAGGGTTCTCAGACGTTGTCCTAAAGCTTCAAGCCCCTACGATACCCTTGCTACCGTTTGCGGCCGTGCTCCAGTTATCAGTGCCAAAAGAAGAGCTGAGATCATGGCTGATGACAATGCAAAAAAAAGAAAGACAACATCCATGGCCAATCGGCGAGGTGGAGCCGTTGTGATCTCCAGCCCCAGACAATCTGAAGGGCGTGGTGGGAAGAAGAAGGACCAGTCGGAGTCTGAGAAGACTCCGCCCACCACCAAAAGTAAGAGCCCCGAGGCCAGTGTAAAGAAGGTTATTCAGGGGATTGAGATCGAAGATCTCACTACTGCCGAGTCCCCTCGTCCGCTTCAGCCAACCGTCACAGTTTCCCCCACTACGGTTGGCTCTGATTCAAGCATTCCGGCCTTGACTTATCAGTCCAGCCAATGGATTGAGCGAGTCTCTGGAAGGTTTCCAGACGAAGTTCTGAAGGGTTTCGCTGTCCCTCCTGGTCACTCCGGAGACCGTTGGAAACCCAACATGGATGTCGGCCGGAATGAATCTATGATTACCGATGACCCAATGCAAGGTGGGAATCTCGGTTATCGGCTTTTGAGCAATCTTACTCTGCCGATGGACAGACCTGCTAGTCCAATCGGCCCCCTTGCTGCTACTCACATGCACAACATGATGAAGGTACTCTAACCTTTCTTTTACATATTTTTATGCTTGGTATATAGCGTTGCTATAGACTTATTCTGTTTATCTTATTCCTAACTGTGCATATATATTATTATTATTTTTTTTATTTTTTTAGGCCGTCATGTCTGGTACAGAGCTCGTTGAGATGTACCGTTATTATCAGGAGAAGCATCATCAAGCCTCCTCCAGCCAAAGTGCCATGCAGGAAATCATCAATAATGCTGAAAGGGCCTTAAATGATTTGAAGAAAATAAAAGAAAGAGACGACAAGGAGATGTCGGGACTGAAGGTTAAGGCTAAGAAGGTTGCTGGTCTAGAATTGGAAGTGTAGAGTCTGAAGACTCAAATTGCTGAAAAAGATAAGGCCATTGAGCGCTGTTTTGGGGTTTTCTGATGTCCTGCGGGAGAGCTACAATTCCGAGACTGGAACCGGACGCCTGTACCTGCAAAATAACGGAGACTCCTGAGAGCTCCGCCTCCAACGGTCAAGTTAGTACCTGATTAAGGAGTAATCAATACAGAAATTAAAGTAATAAGGTCTCTCTAGGTGAGAGTATTTAATATAGGTAATCTGCTTTGCTAGCGAGATCAGCCGGTTATTAGTGTGTTCCGTAATGTTTCTCCTCCGTTCCGTTAATTATTCCGTCCCTTGATTAATGAGGATTAATCGAGTATTTATAGCCTTGGGAAGCGTGCAACTCTCTAGGTTTAAGGTAAACCTAGGGCCGATCGGGCTTCTAGACTGAAATGGGCCTTGATGGCCGGTTGTCCCATTTGGCATGGGTGGACACGTGGCGTGTCTTAAGTGGTCCGTGGAGGACGCGTGGCGGAACCTGGTTGGTCCACTTGTCAAACGGCGCTTGGTGGATAAAAATCCCCTAATCATTTGCCCCTCACAGGTGGCACGCGACTGGTCAAGTGTCGCCTGTGACAGGTGTCGCACGGTGACAGGCGACGGCCCGTTACAG